ACCATTGTTCATAAGCATCATAATATTACAAGCAATAATCACGCGTTTGTGAAGACACGCCACGGTTAAAAACAAATACGTAAGAGAAAGAAAAGCGACCTAAGAAAGTTGGGTTGCGTGACAAAATATCGTTCCGCAATGACGTTTGTAAATTATTGCACCAATCAAATTGACAGCTTATGTCCGGATAAGCTAAGCATTAAAAACATTTTTTGATCTGAACGATATATAAACCAAACACAATCCCCTGAGTGCACTTTATCAAAATTCTTTATTTTATTATAAACAACTTACTTTAATTTTAAAGCACTATGAAAAAAACACCTGGAACAAATAGGTTCCGTGCAAAACCTGCTTTACAGCCTCAGGAGCAAACGTGTGTGTTATGTAAATACAGTACAATTAATCGACACTCTTTTAAAGTGCATCAAAGATCAGGACACCACTTAGAACTTCTGGAGGCGATTCAGTCCAATCAAGGATCACTACCTGCCAATGACATCCAACAACAGTAAGTGAGCGTCTTCATCAATTTAAAAATAGTCAGTTTGTACTTATCATTATTATTTTTAGGAATACCTCTGACGAACAACCTACTATCCCGCTAAGCGAATCTCGTAGTTCTGATATGGAGTCCATTGAAAGGTAAAGTTATTTAAGGCTGTTAAATATATTCAAATTACTTACATCAATATACATTAGACCAATCCAACCTGAACGCACTGCCGAACCATTGTCTGAACCTGCAAATAAATTTGACGAAAATCAATATGATGATTATGATGGTGACGGTGATGATGATGGGCGTGATGATGGTGAAGAAGAATTCGATGGTGGTAATGCCTTTGACCATTTCAACAATGATTTTAACAACGGAGGGGAATCTGATGATGATAGCGAATCTAATGAACCTCCCGTTCCTGTTAACGACGTCAACAACGGCTCTAATGGTGATGGTGGTGATGGTGGTGATGGTGGTGATGGTGGTGATGGTGGTAATGATGAATATCTTGATTTGAGTGGTGATGTCAACGATAATCCAGCATATCCTTTCAAAAATGAATACATATTGCATGCCCTTCTTTTCTTCAAGTCTGGTAGCTTTGAGTATTCAGAAGTCCAAATCAAATCAGTTCTTGATTTTGGTAAATATATGGCTGAAATTGCAATCAAAGAGTACAGAGCTCAACTAGCTTTGGATCCTTCTGATGTTATTTATGATTTCCGTGGTTATCCCACTCCCCACAGCGTTTCCAGATTTCACAAATCCAAGAAAAGTTGTATACCTTGTTTTCCTCATGCTCCCCATTGTGCGAAAGATGATAACGGCGGACTTCTTGTCGAACCTACTGAACCTGCCACATCAACTAGCACATCTGGTACTGCTACAGCCGCTGACGCCTCTGCTCCTGCTCCTGCCTCTACCTCTGCTCCTGCCTCTACCTCTGCTCCAGCCAATACCTCTGCTCCTTCCACTGTTCCTGCTGCAACAACAGATACAACTGCTTCTGTAACGTGCGATCGGACTTAAATGTTCCAAACCTTAATTTCATTTCAATATTTTTATTTTCGAAATCGTGACATGGTGCCTTTTTTTTTTTTTGAAATGTCTGAAGGTAGGCTTGTACATGCCAAGATCCTTGAAAATAGAAGCTCTTTAAACTCAGTCAAAAATAAAGGAAGAAAGAAAAGTTTATTAAATGTTTTCATCAAAAGTTACCTTTCGATGTGAAAGGTAACTTTTGGTTACAAATTTGTAAACATCACCAGCCACCTCTCTACCGTCGTCACACTTGCTGTAGGCATCAATATAATTCATGCATCGCTGAAAATACCGTTTGATTTTGGCGACATCTCCAGCCTTGTTCAAAAACCCGGGAATTTTGGCCTCAAGTGATTTGAATGTGTAATCACAATGAAGACGAGCCTCTCTTTTAGCTCCACCCCAATACATCTCAATCCAATTACATTCACAATGGTACTTGGGGTAGAGTTCAAAGATGTGACCCGCCTTCTCCACTGTTTCTTGAAGCGCCGTTTTTTGGGCAAGAAAATCTGGACGACTGGCTAAAAAATGCCTAGCACAGCACATAGATTTTCTGCCCGGGAAAGGATTCTTGCAATCCACCTTCCAATCCTTCCCCTCTAAATCAGCACCGAACCATTGCTTTCTTTCAGCAAGAATATTGCGAATACCTGATTAAAAAATAAATAAATTATCTCCTAGCTTTATAACATAATCAATTATTTACCTTTAAAGTACCTTGCTTTACGAGTAATTGTTTTCCCCTTTCTGTCTCTAAGGGTACTCACCTTCTCAAAAAAAAAGTCCTGCTGTAAAACCTCTCCGCTAGTCAATGTAACTGTCGTAGGACGAAACTGAAATTTTTCAGTTACTGGCCATATCTTCTCCTTCAATGTCATTCTTGAGGCAACCAGAGCATCCTCAGCAAATGCGGAATGGTTTGAGCTGTTGTCAAACAAAAATACACCAACGCAATTGGGATGGATCAGCTCAAAAAGCTCAATTGCGTCATCTTTGAGTTGCTCGACCATGTGTTTATAGGTCCACCAACCTTCTCTATCACCACCGGCCTTAAAGTACCTTCTTGAGGTCCAAGCGCCACTCTTCATCGTTCCATGACAAGGGCACTGGAACTCACTGATCATGATGGAAGATCCAGGCCCATTTTTACGAATGTAGTTTTCGTCGCTAGTAAGCCAGAAGTCGCTTTTTCCATCGTTTGCATAAAAAGTGCTTTCATCGTGGGTTACAAAAACATTCTTCTTTTCACCATCTTTCAAAACAGGTTCCAATACCTCTTCTTGGTTGTCACCTTGGTAAAATTCAGAACGCTCCATGTATTTTAACATGCGTTTACTCCAAGCTTGTCTATATTCGACGACATCAGGTCTCTCGTGACCATCGAAAAAAATAGCCTTTTTGTTTTTACGGTAAGAATAGCCCCATTCGTAAAGATACCTGGCCACCGTAGTTTTACCAACGCTTCCAGTAACACCGAGAGTGGCAGGAATAACGTCCTCGTCGATAAATTTTTTAATATTATCTACTGTTCTGTAATTGGCAGTAGTCTTCTTGATCATATCCAAAACCTTGGTCTTAACGTCGTTATCAGCTAAGAAAGAGACACGTTTAGCATGAACACCTTGACTATGGTTGGACAAGACTTAATTTTCAAGGTATTCATTTGCCCACTTGATAATTGCTTTATGTCTGTAAAATTTGGAGCAATTGGGCCAAAGAGAATTTGCTGATTTCTTAGCTGCCTCGTGTTTTTTCAAACCTTCCAATCGGTTTTGAAAGTATTGCTGAACAGACACATAGCGGATATGATTGTATGAATCCACGTTACTACCATCGAGCGTTTTGTTCATTACTGGCTTAGCAATAATTGGCATATTCTTGAACAAAACTCTAATTTTTTCAAGCTCTTTCTTGGTATGAGCCACGTACTCTTCTTTTTCTTCAGCGCGGGCGTCGTAAGAAATAGTGACACCAAAATTCAAAATAGTATTAGCAGGTTCGACAGTCTTTGCTTGCTTTTTTTTTCTCCAAATGGTTACTGCTGAAGTCTTATTGTAATGACCATTTCTAGGTCTTTTGGAAGATGATCCATCATCGAAAAGTGCTTCATTGATGTTTTTTGGTGTGGCAATACGCTCCGTATGATTGAGAAGGTCGTTGGTATCCTCTTCCCAGACAATCCAATCTTCTTCGACAGTTTCAGCTGTTTGTTCCATAATTTTACCAGTTGTATCTCTTAATCTATTGCGATTTGCTAAAGTTCTTTTACTAGGTGCAGGCATTTTGATGTAGTATGTAGTACAATAAAATAAAAAAGGTTTTTTTCTGGTCAAGAAATTTAAACGCGAGTTTTGCCGAGTCGCAGTATAAATAATATCAAATCCCTGTTTTACATCATGTTCGAAATGTTAGTATATGACATAAAAAGCTGCTTGAAGTCTCCCCAAATAATGTTAATATATGCTTTAACAACATTTCACAAGTTTTATTTTTTTGATATCTTTATTTTTGGAGCTTCTGAAGGCTCTGCAATGATTGATAACCATAGACGTCTCATAATTTGTCCAATGATGATTGATTTTGAGTTTAAAATAGACGGATAACAAGAATGTCACTTTTTTACGAACAACGTATAATAAGAATGTTTGAAGAACCCCAAATAATATTAATGTATGTTATATTAGTATGCATCTACTTTGGGTTTTTTGATCCGATAATTTTTCGAGCTTCTGAAGATCATTCAAGACTGACATTCAGGCCTGGTTTTGTTTACCCAGGGAAAAAATTAAGACTACGCCTCTCTTATAAATACCGAAAAAGTAACAATGCATTTGCAATCAAATTGAAAAGGAAAGTAGTAATCCAATTCCCCAAATATCGTTCCTAAACATATAAATATTATTGACCTTCTTTCCGTTTTCAAATATATTTATTTTTGGGCCTTCTGAACGTCTTTGAATATCTTTTCGAAATTAATCCGATTGTTATGACTAAAGCCGGAAATTCAAAAGAATTTGACAGAAAATACTAGAAACTTAGTAACTGTAGGCGCTATATTATTCGTTGTTGTATGTTACACTAACTGGGATCGGTATTTAAATTATTAACACACATAGACCATATTCTTTCAATATTTCCCTCCTACAGCCAGGTCCCAGCCAAAAAATTTAAAAACCGACCAACTTTGAGAGTCTTCAGACGACTCAAAATTAAAGATATCAACTTCGACCTCCCCATTTTTTGTTCATAAACATCTACTTACAATAAATGGGGAGGTCGAAGTTGATATCTTTAATTTTGAGTCGTCTGAAGCTCTTGAAAAAATGTCTAAAATTTTGGAACATTTAAGTCCGATCGCACGTTACCCGCTGTTCCTGTTGTTGTCGCATCAAAGCCTGACTTGTTTCTCAATAATGTATCTGAACACTTGCGACTTCTCGTAGGTAATCCCTGTATGTCTGGTTTCCTGTCAGATCTTCCTGATCGAACACCTAACCAACGAATCAAGCTAAGTCAAGGTGAAAAGTGGAATTGTGATAGATTGTTTGAGCATCCCACGATAATTACTGGTCCAAATCTTCAACTCTGGGTATGGGATATGGTCTCTTTGCTGTCTGAGAGCAATATTCCTCTTCGTCATCGCCAATATTTTAAAGTGGCCAAGATATTCCAAATATCAAAAGTTGTGAACGTTGATTTGTATCCAATTTAACCCGATAATAAGCTTGGAATGTGCTGTCTATACGACATCCTTCTCAACTATCCCATAACCGACCTTGACATCAATAATGTCTTTCGTGCCGAACATGAATCCTTCGATGCATTTACCAGCTTACAACATATAAATGGTGACGATTATCATTGTCCTAGAGATGTTGTTGCTAATACTCGATTGATTCGCGCTCATCATGACATGATTGATACTGGTAATAAGTACAAGCGTCCACTGCCCATTAGATCACGTATAAGAAGCATAAATCCCAATTCGCCAAACTACCAGGTCGTTAGAGTAATTCCGTACAACCTTTTCTCTGATAATACCAGTGGTAATTCCACATCAAAATGGAATTGTTTCGATTCGTGGTCGATGAATCCTGCCGCTGTTCCTCTTAGTGTTGCCAATCATTATTTAAATCAATTTTTTATATATGGATCAAATCGTCGTACTGCTATGGAACAGTTGCCTTCCCTTGTCCCCGATTTGAAGAAACTGTAAACTGGTCTGCCGATGTTTGATGCTATTTTCAAGGAAGAAGTCTTTGTTGTTGCTCCTCTTTTGTTTATCAAGGCTGACAATCCTTGTCATGCCGAGGTTTCTTGTTTGAAAGCTTCAACAGCTACTTATCCGTGCAGAAAATGCTTCTGGTGTCGACATGCTGATACTTTTGATCCTAATAGAATTACCACGGCCGAAGAACACATGTCAGTTCCAAACGATGACTCGGATAGTACGGATTCCTCGATACGTGTTCGTAACAGACAGGGTGATTATATCATGGTCGAAAACTTGATGGACCTCGGCTTCAAGGAAACCTCTGGCAAAAGGATTTTGACGTTGTCTTCTTCGGATCCTAGCAAGGATACATCGGTAGAAATTCTGCATGGCCTATGTCTCGGTTTAATCAAATACACGTTCAACAAAGCGGCTGATTGCTTTTTCAACAAGAAGCAGGTTGATCGCATTAGTTATTTGTGTGCATAGTATGGGTCTAAGGCTTTTACCAATTTGTCGACGCATCTCAAAGGATACAAAAGCTCTCTTGGAAGAGACTTCAAACTTTTGATTCAGATGCTCCCAATTGTTCTCAGAGTTGCTCGTGACCACATTGATTTCCTCAACATTCGTAATGATCAATTCCACCGAGTGGATAACGTTATTAGTACTTTGGACAAGCTTGTTGAGCTTTACTCATTGTGTTATAACTGTGAAATACATACCAACGTTTCTGCCTATCTCGATTTATTGCGTCAATGCGTTAATGATACTGTTATTGCTCTGGATAACCTTGATCGTACCGTTCTTCCCAGTAACCGACGTACTCGTGGAGAGCCAGCAACAGCAACGACAACTGTATCAGTGCCCAGTCAACTACTTTTGAAGAGATCTATGGTCTTTCTGATGAACAATGTAATGGTGCTACGATTCCATACGCCAAAACTGGTGGTCCTTTGTGTAATCGTTTAAAGACTCATTTGATAGTCCATTTGGTAGAGGATTGTCTTCGATTTGCTTCTCCTGTGCTTATCGCAACTGAAAAGAACGAGCAATTTAACAAACGCATTAGGGCAATTGTCATGAAGACCAACAAACAAAACGCTTCTCGTGATTTGGCTCTTATTAACGTCGTGAGGTAAAGCTGAGAAGTATTGCGATGGGTCTTGTTTGGGATAACGATATGAAAACTCGTGGTAGTCTGGTCAAAGCGTTGTTCGATAGGTACAGTGAGGACATGTACTATTCAGCTAATCGGGAATTCGGCAGTACTGAATATATTGCTCGAAAGAAGATTGCTTTGAACATGACGGCTATTCTCGATGTTGACTTGGATTCTCTTGGGGCGCGTCGTCTGCTTGGAAAGGTCGTAAAACGTCGCGGCGATCAGGCTATTGTTGAGGTGCATGAACTTGTTCCCAGGCCAGCCTTCGTGATTCACGATGACAGTAGCCTCATTTCTGTCTATCAAGCTGACGAAGGTGGTAATCTCCACACCAAGAAAACTGAAGAAATCTTGGACTTGCTGAAGTATAAACTGACTGTGGTGGAATTACTTGACATGTCTCAGGAAACTGAGATTGACACTGTCAAGTATTCTCTTATCAACAAGTGCAAGTTAGGTACTTTCTGGTGGCTCCATAACACTAATCGTTATTTCAAAATGTTAGAAAATGAAAGAAACTAATCATTTTGTTTTTTTTACATGTCCTTTTTTCAAAAAAAGTAAAAGTCTCTTCCATTTTGTTATCCAATAAAAATGCTTAGCTGCACGAATCGCTATCCTGACCCCCATAAAAGACGCTAAAGTAGTTTTCAAGGTACACAAAACCATCATACAGTTGTTTATTTTGTAACATCTGGCCTTCGATCACGTATTTTGTTTTTTCGCCCAATCGCAAAGTTTTATTTTTTTTAAAAAAATTCTGACACGGGAATTTACTTTTTGGTGCAGAATTTAAGAAATATTTAAAGTTTTCAACTCGTTGTGTATATACCTATGAAGCGCTGTTAACCGGATCCATAACTTAATAATAACAACAAACAGAAAAATAAAAATGTTTGGAAAGTCTCCCTATGAATCAGTATGTGATGTCATTACACAAAATACGAAAACTTTAAACGATTACGATACTTTGGATGGCGCTGTATTTACGTTTTTGAAATCCAACGCACGTTTAAAGATGTTCTGATAGGATTTGGGACTTACCTTATATGTCAAATTAACTATGATAATCCCATACAAGCTTAGAATGCTTGAACCATTCTTGAACCGTTTCGAATTGTTTATAATCTATTTCGGTTGTTAGTTAAATGTAATCAGCGAACCCGTAAGTGTCGGATCTGTAGTGATAACGTACCAGAATTCCCTAAAGTATCGCATAAAAACGGATAACGGACCGAGTGCCCTGAATTCAACGGATTTAGAGGGATAACGGACCGGAGTACCCTAAAGTCAACGGATTTTGAGGGATAACGGACCGGAGTACGCAAACCTATTGGATCTTGACGGATAACGGACCAGAATTCTCAGATTTTTATGACTTAGGCTGCTCACATCAAACAAGATATATGGAGATCTTAAATAGGAGATGTACTTATAAAATCAAGTTTCGTTTTGGTTTTTTGTTTTTTTAAAAACAAATTTCGTATCAATTTGTTTTTCTAAATTGAATTCTTTCAAAAATAATGTCGCCATAATTTTTTATTAATTCACTGCTTAAAAAAATCTATGGGTTTCGAATGTGAAGCCTCCAGAAATGATCGGTCCTAAAATAAACTACTAAAATGCCAAAAACAAAATAAAATTTTAATTACTGTTTCCTTACGTTAACTTTTCTAAAATGAACAATCAAAACAACAAGAATAACGCTATCAATTTCCAATTTATTTAAGTCACAGATAATGGTGCAGGTTATGGTACCAACCGTCGCATGCTACTACAGTTTGAGAAGAAGAAAAGGTTCCTGTCGTCTTTCCGCATACTGCTCCCGTATCCCTGCTACACCTGCTACTGCCACTGCTAATGCCACTGCTGATGCCACGGATATTCATACCACGGATGCTGCTGCCACTATTAAGTTTCAGATAGTGCTAGACTCGCTCAAACTGGAATTCAGCCATTACCTTTGCTCTGATTGAATTGTATGCTGTTTAGAAGAACCGGTTGGAGTCCACTCGTACGCTAGCCGAACGAAATGCGTTGTACCGTGCCCTTGTTTCACTCATTTAACACCAACAACAGCACCAAGGGAAGAAGACCTTTAAGTGCATCGGGTCTAACTGGTTCTGCTCTTCGTGCTGGTTTCATGACATCGCAATGATAGGTTCAATGCAACGGGTACGGCACCGATTGAAAACTGGGTTTACCATGATGCGATAGAGAACCCCACCAGTCAAATGCCCACCGTAATCCCACACACTGTCTATACCTCTCTTGCTGGAGAGACGATAGATAATCGTAATGAAGTTGCGGTGCTAGAGGAGTAAGAGCCTGTTAAAAACGATGGTGCTGGGAGGGTGAGACTCGTGGGGGTGCCAGTTAAGGTAGAGCGGTAAACCGAACGATCGAGCATCTGGTCACCTCTATGAATGAGATTGAGGCAAGTCGTTTTGAGCGTGGGAGCCGGAGCGTAGAACGTTCAATAGACATCTTGCTTGTTCGACAACGTTTTTTTATGAGAAGTTTGATTCCATGGGGAAACGGAACCAGGCGCAGTCTCGCATCGCTGAGTAGATGCAGGCCAGTCTGGATATCTAGCGCCAGTTGCTGATGGTAATGAATGGGATTTCGGCTCAAGCAACAACAACGCCACCAGCTACAATGCGTTTGAGAACGGTGACTACAATTACACCAACAACACCAGCCACTACTTCCGCCCTGATATCCATGGTATTCTGACGCCTATGACTATCAGTTCAACAGTACCTCTGCCAGCAGCAACAGCGCCTACAACAAACACCGACGCCAAAAACACCATCACCAGCAACATCGTCCTTAACAGCACCCTCCCAAAAAACACCTTCCGCAAGAACATCTTTCCCAATAACACCTTCCCCAAGAACACTGCCTCCATCCCCTCTGTCCAGTCGCATGGCGATTGATGGCAGTGTCAGACGGTTTTCTCCTGTTCTGTCAGACGTGCTTGAAATCACTTAACCTTCGTCCGATTAACATAAACCTCAAAACAACGACTAAAATATTTTTGGCATTTTTTCAAAAATAAATTTGTATTGTTTTAAAAAAATTTAGTTCTTAGCAAATTTAAGGAAAAGCTGCATTAAAGATGCGCAAGCGGGCACTGTTACAGATAACACATGTATCACCCTGCTCTCCAGCTACAAGACCAGCAGGCTCAAGAACCACACCATCGAAACCTATCTCCCCTCTTGCCTTACATGCATTGTGTGGAATAGCACACGACCCGAGGATATTATTGATATCCAAATTATCATACACGTAAATATGGAATTGTGTGAATCTCCGCCGATGAACGAACTTACCAAAAGTTCTTTCAATGGCCATTCTTCTGGTTGAAAGCGAATAGTTGAATAACCTCTTGCGCGGACCCGGAGACATTCACTTTCAGGGAATGGTATAACCAAATTGACAATGGTCGGATATGCTGAATCACGTAGAAAATAAAATCCTTTATTGTAGTAATGCCCAGGATTGTTCATGACCTTCCAGCTGATATCACTGGAATTATAAGCTGAGGCATCGTGACCTCTGCCTAGTGTATTCAAAGTAAATTAGTTTCCAACTCTCATATTTATACTGGTCATTTAACCAGAGTCTCCTACGCGAATGTAAGTAAACATTCAAGTGTCGTCACAAACAGCGGTAAGTTTAATGGTGTAATTGTTTTTTATGTCACGGAACCCTGCTCCATAAGCCGCTGGAGTTGACTTATGAATGGTAACGTTTTTGCCATGAATAGCACCAGTTGCATCACGAATACTCACACCAGAACCTTTGTGGAATCCAGCAGATATAGCACTCACCATGGCTGAATTGGTAGACCAATCAATCATATAGCTAAGCACATCCTTCATGGCCTTCACGTTAGGCCTCGTGAAATTGGTATAGCTGCCATACGAAACACCATACAGGACATACATGTTTCTATATCAAAGATGATAATTGGCCATTCTCAAAAGACAGGTAGCTATCTAAATGTAGATAGGAACGTGGTTAGGTGTCTTAAAATCAAATTCGGGATGAGTAGACAACCTGTTGACAAGCCAATTGAAAGAGTCTTTTCCCATTTGATATGTGGCACAGAAGCTATCTACTAGGTTTTTGTCGTCGTCGTTGAGGTTCGGATGTTGTACCTCTCAAAAAGTGTATCTTTCAGACACTCTTGTGGCACCCACACCGACAGTTCGCGTTCTGGTGATAATTGCCCCGGTCATAAACAAAGGCAAGGAAGTAATAGCCATTCCAAATGCACTCGAGAAATCGGCAGCAAAAAAGTCGTACTGCAATTGCTGTTCTCTAAGCAAATGCACATTACTGACAGTAAGGTGCAACAAGTCTACAATTTCTTGGTTCTCGGTAGCAATGCTATCACTAAATGCATAAATAACAGCTTGTCGTTGTCTTTACATTTCGAAGAGGAGAAAAATTTGTTGGCGAGTTTGAGAATTCATTGAGAAATTAAATTGAAACAGAGAAAAGGAGAAAAGAACAGGCAAAACAGGAACAAACGAAAAAACATCTTGCCGATATTTTAGTACAATCGAATTGCACTACAGTGCATCTATTTTACAATGAACAATTTTCGTTAAAACGGACATTTTCAGAACTTAAAAGTCGGATTTTTAGACTGGTGATTTTCATATTTTTGACAGAGAAATCTAATTTATCGCGGGAAAATGTTTAACCGGGATATAAATCCAATGGATTTTTATGAATTTTTGCACTGTAAAACACCTCCCGGACACCTTTGGGTCTCCCCACTGTAAATGGCCAATTTTGTTTTGCCATCTGTAAAACATTTTGTGTGAAAAAAAAAATCCGGCTCTATTAGTTTGTGGAGAACTCTCTAATAAAGAATGTAATAGAGCCGGATTTTGGATACCTGTTGAATTCATCGAGGAGATAGAGTTTTTATATTTTTTGAAAAATCGGAGCCAAAAATTGTTCATTGTAAAATAGATGCACTGTAGTTCCAGGATAATATTTATTATTATTTTTTATATTTTTTTAAAAAACCAGTTTTGGAAAAAGATTGACCTTCAAAAAAAAACATTTTTAAAAAAAAACAGCGCTTGTCCATATTAGTACATCTCCTATTTAAGATCTCAATATATTTTGTTTGATGTGAGCAGCCTTATCCTGATGACTATTTGGAGGTCACTGGTTTTGTTCTACCAGATTTCCGCTATGGTCAGCAAGCATATTTAATCGAAGGAGCAAAGATCTTTACATCTTATAGCAACAATTTTCATATGCGTTTGGGAAGTCATCTTGGACAAGCTGTCAATCATCTACTTCGTATTCGACAAAGAAAAGCCGAATTAATTGCTTATAGAAGACTTAAAAGATTAAATGATGCACTGATAAAATCTGAAGTATGCAGAGAAAAAACTGAGCCGGCGACAAGATTTGAGGAACTTAAAGCTAGAAGGTTACCTCAAGATTTTGTATTGAACGGAGAGCAGTTCGGGGACCCTATCTACAATAACGCTCTTGCAATTCTTTGCCCTGTCCTTACCAGTTATCCCGTTGACTACCGATTTCGTGTGAATAGCATTTGTTACGATTCCAAAGCAGAACATATGCGGACTTTTTACGAACTAGCTTTATCATTTATTGATATAGAAGTACCTGTGTTAAATTCCTTCCCATTACGCCGTTCTTGGATTCCTTGCTACACAACCATCGAGTCAAAAAAAATTTGTCAAAATAATCTTGGTCGTCGGTGAACCAATCGTCAAGATAAGATAGCACTTTGGTGTGAAGTAATTAACCTAAACTCGGATGCACTCAAACACCACGAAAATGGAGAGTTTTAGTTTAGAGAAACTATTCAAACGGATGGAGTAGGTGTAACTGTGATCAAGAAAAGAATGGATCGTGAAAGCAGATATACTGCTCGTTTTGCTGTTATGGTTGAATCAATTCAGTACATTTCACAAGAGATTGCTCAAGAAACTGTTGGAAAATGTGTTACAATTGATCCGGGACGAAGAGATTTGCTATTCTGTGTGCATGAAAACTCAACGGCAAACAATTCGAACAAGTTTCGATTTACCAAAAAGTACCAAGACAAGTTTGAAAAGATCAAAAAATACGGTAGAATCCGTGAAGCAGTGGAACCCGCTAGAGTAGGAGCCCCTGATAGGCTTTTGGTTAATTATGATTCCTTGAATAGAGATGAATTTGAACAGTATCTTGAAAACAGGTCCAATACGACAGGCATCATCCAAAGGCACTAAGTCAACTTCCGAACCAACCATCGTACTGCTCATCCCTTGCACAGAACATTGCGGCTATCTGCGTATGTATGAACATAGTAAGGAAACGAGGATTTTATTTCAAAACTAGATAAACAGTTTGGTCTCGAAGCCGTTTATGTTATGTGTAACTGGTCATCTTCTATTACAAGATTCTATGAGCGGTCCGAGGCCTTGGATTCCGTCGGTTGCTTTAAAAAGCTGCAAAAAGGTTGTACTTGATTGATGAATTTAGAGCAAGTCAGTATTGCCCAGCTTGTGAACGTAAAAGTCTTGAAACGTGTCGGATGGCCGATAACCTGCGCCCTCATAGACGAAGAAAAAATCCTCGTGGAATCAGCCATGGCCTCTTAAGGTATGCTGATTTTACTTGTTTATAATTGTTTATCGAATAATTTTTGTTTTGTTCTTGTGACAGATGTGCAAATCAGAATTGTAGAGCTATGACTGATAACACAAATATAATTGTTCCTCGTCTGTGGAATCTTGATAAGGAGCCTTGCTTGGACATAGTTGATATTTTTCGGTCACTTCGGACTGGAAATGGCATTCGCCCATAATTTCGACGTGTATAGGTTTCCCAGAACCAACGGAGAAGAGCAAGAACCAGAAATGAAGAAGTAAACGTTAAAAATGTACGTCGACGTCGCAACTAAAATTTTCCACGCCTGTTATCACAGGTCAACTATAGATACACTTAAGTGGCAAGCTAATTTTTTTTCCGAAGATAAACTTAATTTTTTTACTTTGTGAACGAATTTTTTTTTATTTGTGAACGAATTTTTTTTTTACATTTTGATCTAATATTTTCTAACAATAGTATACTCGTTGTGTTTTCAAGAAGAAACACCAACTTCATGTTAACCGGCGTAAACTTCAACTTATGCACTGCGGCATTGTTTGAAAGAATAGCCACTTATCTACCCTCTCGACCAAAACCAATATCCAATTTTTTTGATGTAAACCGAGAAGATCTCAGAGGTCATCCACGCTTTAGGCGAGTGATGATACTCCACGTAACACCGTGTACCAATAGCTGTCATTGATGTCATTTTGGGGGTTTTTCTTGTTGCAAAGAGGGTTTGTTGTGTTTGTAGGTAAGTACAATTATAAGGCAGTATACTGGATTTCCCACCTCCTTTTCCAATAAATGATTAAATTTTTTCCAAAGTCAGACGCTAATTTTTCCAAATGTGGTTGATAATTTTTCCAAAATGCTACAGTTAATTTTTCCAAAAAGTGTTTTTATTCTTTCCAAAAAACGTTTACGCTAGAATGAGCATCGACAATCTTATGAGCGACATGTCCCTGGATGAGGAGCTGGATCTTACAAGTGAGGTGGCTTATGTTAATCTGTAACAATTGAATAGCACTTTAAAGAAAGATGACATGGTCATGGGCATGGAGTGTGACGATGAGCTTGCTGAGGAGTTAGGCTTGGTCGCTGATGACATCGTAACAGACGAGGAAGACGACGAAGAACTTGTCACAGAAACATCAATCGAGACTGAAGCCCGAGTGAATAATTTTTGTGAGACTCACCTGAATCAACCAGAACTAAAGCTGAATTCGAAGGGGAAAAACCTTACCGAAAGTATACGGACGAACAGATTGATCACTTTATTGATTTGATTGCTTCTGGGGAGAGTGTAAAATCTGCGTGTGAAAGCACAGATATTGCATTATGGTCAGTCTACAAATATAAGAAAACTTATAAGAATCACCCTGAGCATGGACTTATTCGCAGAAAAAAGAGATGAGCGAAAGGGTCTTTATTCAAATTAAAACAGCATCATGCCGAATGGATTATCAGTTATATCGACGATAAACCCACAGCTGTCCTAGAACAAATTAGTGAATCCTTGTGTAGAACCTTCGAAACTGAAAATCTGTCCATAAGTCGATCTGCTCTCCACAGATTTATGCGGGTTTATTGTGCTTTATCAATGAAGAGATTAGAAAAAATTCCTGCCAGGAGAAACCATATAGATGTTATTGAGCAAAGAAAACTCGCTGTAGAAACATGGCTAGCCCATGAGGAAATGGATTTTCAGAAAAAGTACGTTTTTATAGATGAGGCCGGGTTCAATGTTAACATCACTCGCAACAGAGGATGGTCTAAAAGAGGAACACCTGCCAAAGCCATCGTTCCATCCGCACGAAGTACATCAGTTACAATTTTGGGTGCTATTTCAATTGATGGTGTTATAGATATTTCACTTAGAAAACCTACATCATCTGTTGCCACTAAGAAAAGAAAGGTTGACGGTAGAGAGGTGAAGATCAATGGCCGAGTGGGCACGCGGTCAGAGCACTTCCTTACGTATTTAAGCAGCATGATGAATTGCTTGGACCGAAATGGGCTCCATGGCTACTATCTTGTAATGGATAATGCACCTATACATAAGCCAGCTGCAATTCGAGAGCTTATTGAAAATAGAGGATATAAATGCGTTCATTTACCTCCTTATTCTCCGTTTTTAAATCCTATAGAAGAGTTTTGGTGCAAAGTAAAGACAGGTATTAAAAGGAACCCTTTGGAATCAAGTGATCCTTTAACACCGAGAATAATGGAGTCTGTTACCAACGTAACAATGAACGATTGCCGCGGATGGATTAAACATTCGGTATCTTTGTTTCCTCTTTGAATTGCTAAGGAAAAGATGTTATAATAACATTCACAAAAATTTAATTTTGGAAAAAATAAAGAAATTTTTTGGAAAAATCAGCTTTAGCCTTTTGGAAAAATTATCAACCACATTTCGAAAAATTAGCGTCTGACTTTGGAAAAAATTTAATCATTTATTGGAAAATGAGGTGGGAAATCCAGTATAAGTAATTTGTGACTGTCTATAAGATTGTCTTTGTTATGAAATAAAATGAACAATTATTTATATAAAAAAGACTATCTGCTGTGCCACTATCTTTAGTGTATCTTTGAAGTTGTTATCATATTCCCAGTGTGTATCCTGTTACCTTTAAGTTCTTATTTTGTAAATATGTTACACTGTTACTGGCTTGTTTAAGTATTAAAGCGGTAACGTGAAATAAAGGGAAAGAGTAGAGATTAAGATAAAAGTTCTTAAAAAGTGAGCACCGGACTATAAATCGTCAACTAAGATAAAATAAAATATAAAGATATAAAAGGGAAATGCTACGACGAATCAGTTATCTGTGTCTTCGAAAGAGTATAGTAAAATACAACTATTAAGACTATTCAGTGCTGATTTATAAGAAGGGCTTTCGTACAATTATAGTAGTTATATATATTCATAATGAAACCAGGCTAATATGAATAGACTAAATCAGATTATAGTAAAGAACAAACTAAAGATTTTATTAAATAATTTTATGGTCCTTTTATAGGAAAAGAACCAAAAAGCAGTCAAAAAAGAATAAGACATCTGAGGTCAAAAAGGACCAACAGAAGAAGAAAAAGGTGGTGTAACAACACGTGGCATTGCTGTCATCCTAGACACATCGTACTTGCATATCTTTAGTAAGCATTAGTCACTGTTTTCTTGTAACCTTGTGATATGATAGTATAGCTATCTATACTGGGTAATTGATTCCTTAATCATTCTTAGGGCTCTCACAAGCAACAAAATTATTTTTTTAAAGATCCCGATTAAGGACTTTATTATTTTTTTTATTTATTTTTTTTTTTGTCAAAGGTTACAATTTTGCCAAATAGATGAATAAACAATTAAACGGATATATATAGAAGATTAGCAATAACATCGAATTTTCTTCAGTGGCAAAATTTTTGAAATATCCCAATAAAGGATTAAAATCCAACGACCCCAGAATCCTTCTATGAGATGAAAAATCAGCCAAATTGGACTACTGAACTCACAAATGTTTTCTTTTTATTGTTGTTTTTTTTTTATAAAAGGTTTTTTTTTTGTGATCCTCTTCATTTTCTTCACCAATTTCATTATCCAATTTTATCTAAAAAAAAAACAAAATGACTTTCCATAACTACACCAGCATTAACTTCGTCAATGGCTACAACCCTACCACTCCTGCCGTAAGAGGAAGACCTATGGTAAACGCACCTGCTCCTGCTGCTGCTTCTGCTCCTGCTGTTGCTCCTGCTCCTCAACTGAGCCTTCTACCGAGCCTTCTGTTGGTTCTTCTGTTGGTCCTTCTGCTGTTCCATCTGGATCTGCAAACGAACCCTCTGTTGAAACCACTTCTTCTTCTGGACCTGTTCCTACTAATGAATCCGTTCCCACTGCCCAGTCATCTGCAGCCACTGGATCCGTTCCTGCAACTGGATCAATGCCATCCGCTTCTTCTGGACCTAGTTCAGCCGGTTCTTCTGATCCTTCATCTTCTGCTGCTTCTGCTGAGAATAATCCTGTTGATGAGCGTTCTCCTCAGGTCAACACCAATCTTAATTGGGATCTGCGAGCACACATGTATTGATCGAGTTGTTCCCTGAGTACATTGTAAAAGTCGGTGTTACTCGTACACCTCAAGCAAAGTTAAGTCTGACCAAAGCAACAGAGGATGCTTTCAATGCCAATGGCGCCATCAACGGTAGAAGAGACATTGCAGCCATGAAAACCAGAAGAAGCAGCCTTTGCAGTACATATCAAACTAGAAGAGATGCTGCCAATGCTACTGGAAGAGCTCCTCTTCCATATAAGGAATTTCACGATTTGAAGGAGCAGGTAACATCAAGAATGTCAACCATGAATCCACCTTTTTCGTACAGTTCCCATTCAGGAGAAACTGTGGATAGCCGAGGTAATTTTCCTGCTGGAAGTCCGAGGTCGTGCCGGTGTTGATGATGATGATGATCAAGAAGAAGAAGGTAGAAGACCTACCCAACGCCCTCGTTATGTCAATACCTCGACATGGTTCATGGCTGGTCATTTGGAGGCTTTGGAAGACCAAAACCGAAAGGAAAGAGCACGAGACCGTGAAATTGCCAACGAGCGTAGGGCTGTCGATGTGGCACATATGGACCGTGTGTATGCCCATACCATTGATAGAGATGTCTTTGACCGGGGTATCTTGCGTGATACAATGGTTTTGAGACGTCAAAATTCTGGATGGCAAAGAGACGCAAGCTTGGCCATAAACCGCATGGTGGATTTGTTTGCTTCTTCTCTCCCTCGTCCCGCTCCTTCTCCAACGCCTGCTCCTTCGCCCACTTCCGTTCCTTCGCCCACTTCTACCCCTTCTCCCACGTCTGCTTCTTCTCCCCCTCCCCCTCCTAACAATTCCCCTCCTGCCGCTGATCCTTCAGTTAATAACAATTAAGTTTTTTTTTTATAAATTTTTTTTCTACTTATCCAGTAAAGTTTCTAACACCTTCAGTTCTATGTGTCATCAATTCATTAAATACATTAGGTGCTTTCAAGATCGGAAACGGAATATATATAGCCCATTTTTTATACAAAAATAGTGAAAAAAGTCTCTGAAATGTAGCGCTAAATTTGGGCAAAATAATACATATACATATAAGGAATCAAATAAAAACATGATCAAAGTGATCTTGTTTTCAAAACAGTTTACTTGAAAAGGAAATGATAAATAACGAACATCTTTAAATCCAGTGTTTTTTTATTTTTATTTTTCTTTCCAATTAATTTGTGAAATACATTTTATCACTTACCTTACTTTGAACAATAACGAAGCTAATAACAATGCCCCCAACAACGTTCGTGGTCGGGGACGCGGTCGTGGAAATGGACGTGGAGGCAGACGTGGACGTGGCAGACGCGCTGGCACTTTTGTGTTTGTTGTCGATCCTACCGTTCAGCAAAACACCATTCCTGTTAACAACGGCAGCACCGAAGCTGACAGTAACGCCAACGTTGATGATGACGATGAGCCCGAACAATTATCTTCACGGTCCTACAATGTATGGCCTGATGTAGCTATCTGTATCCTCCTCGAAATTATGGCTGGTACCTACAGCTACTTGCTGAGAAGAAGCGATACTGCTTTAAAGCAGCTTATCTGGGTGCATTCGGCTGCTTTGCTGAAGGAAAAGTTAGCTGAAAATGCTACCACCGATGTAATCACGGCTTTTTGGACAAACTTTAGTGAGACAAGCATGCAAAGAAAGTGGGCAGACATGAAGCAGCGTTTTACCAGAGTAAGAAATGCAGCAAGAGAAACCGGAGTTGGTGGAACTGTTCCAAACATGCCGTACTACGAGGAAATTGCTAAGATTACTCAGGATGATCCAAGCATCCAACCTGAAGTGATTTACGAAAGCATCAACATGCAAGAGAGTGGTATTCGGTCTTACAGACGATTTAACGACGACAATTTGATGAATGCTATTAGATTCGAAGGCCCCGAAACAACTTACTTGGGACCTACAGACGTTGATAAACTTGTAATTAAAAACGCATTTGCTGATCGATATCCTGTCAGATATTCTCCCAACATTGAAGGACCTGCAGTGCCATCATTTATGAATCAGCATCCGCACCTCCACCACCAACAACAGCACCTCCACCCCACCAACACCAGCAACAGCATCAACCCACCCAAAACCAACAGCCTTACCAACCTCAACACCAACAACGAACAACCAACACCAACACCAACACCAACACCAACACCAACACCACACCACATCAACCCAACACCAACACCAACACCAACACCAACACCAACACCAACACCAACACCAACACCAGCACCAGCACCCAGACACATCATATCCGCAGCACCACCAACATCGACAGGCACAACACCAACACCACCACCTTCATTCACACCTCCACCTCCATATACATCTGCACCACCTCCACCTCCATATACATCCGCACCACCTCCACCTCCACCTTCATCTGCACCACCTCCACCAAGATCTGTCCGTACATCGAGAAATAGTCGAACTTCTGGTGAGCAGTCTTCATCAACTCCCGATCCTATTGAAGCTGCTCGTCAGTTGTCAGACGAGCATATGGCACGTGCCCGCCACCCTGGTGTAGAGATGATGGATCGCATGGCATCATCGCAAAGGGAAGATCGAGAACAAAGACTTCTCGATGTTGATAACATGCTGCAACGTATCAGTCGTACTCGACAAATTGCATTGGAAGATATGCAAGCAAGACAGTGACAAGATACCAGAGAGAGATACCGTATGTTCGAAGAAGTAAGAAGTAGACGAGAGGCTGACATGGAAGAGCAATGGACGTAGACGTATGTCTGATATGGAGACTATCCTGAATAGATTTGCAGCCATTCGAAGAGGTGATACTGATACCAATCTTAATGGTTCATCTTCTACTGACAACAATAATTAATTAAATAAAATAAAATTTTTAATTCATTAAAACCTTTTGAAAACTATGAAAGTCTATCTGTTCCCCTCATGATATCGTTTCTTCTTAAGATAGACATTGCCTTAAGACGGCGCATCCCGGCTGCGTCGATGGTAGCGCTGGTACCATCAAAAGGAAGAGGAGGTTCAAAATTCACCTCGTTTTCATACTGGTTTCGGCGATCTGCATCCACAAAACCCTCGAAATCTAATCCTCCATCCAGCACTGCCTCTTCAATGTCATTTTGATTTATACAAATGTTGTGTAAATCACAGCAAGATATGATAGTTTTGGCCATTCTATCAACACTAAGCATATACAAATGCTTCCAAAGGAATCTCCACCGGGATGTGAGTCCACCAAATGCATGTTCTATTTTTATGCGAGAACTAGAAAAGATTTCATTGAAAATCTTTTCTTCTGAAGTGCTTTCACGTCGGCCATGAAATGAAACAATGAGGTTTGGCAGCAAAGGGTAAGCCGAATCTAGGTCACATCATTAATAATTTGTACACTATGGTATGATTAATGAGTTTACCTCCCAAAATATAAGTGTTTGCGGGAGACCATCTGGCCGCATCAAACAAAAGTTTATGATAGATCACACTGCTAGTAAACACTCGGGCAACATGGTTTCTGCCTTAATATAATAACAAACGGTAAGCTGCTATATCATGTTTATCCTTCCATACGAACTTACCAGAATGCTCAGTTTTTACGTACATAAACCGAGTACGGGCATCGCATATGACCATTAAGTTATAGATGCGTGGCTCTTTCTATCGACCTAGGCATTTCCGTTAATTGCTGGCTTTTTAATGACGACCAGCTTGCCATCAATCGCACCTAGTACACCAGAAAGTCTCGTGGCATCAGGTCCACCAAGTTCTGAAAACTCACGAGCATTGTATAACGCTCTATCTCTGTCGTCGATACGCCACGTTATAATTTCGGGAGTAATCTCCAACATGGAATCAATAAATCTGTTTGTGAAATTATTGAACGATCCGGCAGTTACTCCAAGATGTGTTTTAGCAATGCGATAACCAAAATGGGCGTTGGCAAATCTCCAAAGCACACACGCAACTTGGACTTCCACAGAGTATCCACCTCGCAAAATTGATCCAAGATAAGCAGAACATCTACTTAAACGATTGACGAGCCACTAAAAGGTACTCTTGTTAACGCGATAATGGGCTCTATAACTGTGGCGGCTGTTACGATCATCTGACAGGTTAGGGTGCATGATTGTCCAGTAACTTTCATACATGTCCATACGCTCGGTTCTAACAACCCTTCTGTGGACTTCTCTGGTCATCATCCAAGGGCTGCTTATAAAAATATAATAAAAAATGTCATAGTTGACAAGAGTGGTTGCATGTAAAATTGTTTCCCTGATCCAAAGTTCAAACAAGGAAACGACATCTTGGTTGCCTTGGGTGCGGGCAAAGTCTGCAACAACGCGCTCTTCGGCAATGGCTACCTCTTGTTGAAGCATTTGCTCTTCCAAACCGTACTCTTCGTCCATTGCACTAATTTCGTCCACCAAGGCATCGAAATATTGATATTCGTCTTCGAAATGTTCAGCGTCATCTTCCATCCAAAGTTGTTCTTGCATCATGTCGAAGAAAGTTTCGTGAATTGGGTTCATGTTAAATAGTTACTTTAAAAAAATTAAGATAAGCGAAAAGGAAATATTTTATTTTTTATTTTCTTTGATTTAATAAAATCACGTTGGTCCTTTAGTAGATTCGAAAGTGAAAAGCTGTCACGTCATCACCTGATCATTGAGTTTTATTTTATTGTCTAATTTAAGAAATGGGGCACACTCCCAAAAAAGGCTCGATCACCATTCCGAATTTTACATTGAGAGCACCTATTTGCTCTTCTAGTACATCCATTTACATTTTGAGACGATTCATTTTCTACATTGGCAGCACCACGACCTTCCATCGGACTATCGTCTGTAAATCCAGGGTCTCGAAGATCAATGCAAAAGTTGTGTAGTATACAGCACGCTGTAATAATTTCGTTTACATCCATTTGATCGTAGACATAAATGTAGTTGCTAGCGAATCTCCAAGGAGCAACCAAGACACCGAATGCTTTTTCAATCGCCATTCTTGTCGCAGAATGAACGAAATTAAATGTACATTTTTTGAATCCGTTATGCATTGACTTTCAGGAAATGGCGTGATGCGAGTAGGCCCCGAAGGGTACGCAGAGTCACCGATGATAGACGTATTGTCTGGAAAGAACGTTTCAGGATTTTCAAGAATATCGTAATATATGTAACTGGATCTGAAAGCAGCAGCATCGTGAGTTCCTCCTAAGAATAAGTAATGTGTTTAGTTTTGATTTTAAATCCGTTAATCCATAGTTACGGTACCTGAGTCGCCTACCGAGATATATGTGAATCTCAAGTTAGGGTCACAAACAGCCGTTAACTTAACAGAGTAGTCATTCTTACGATCACGAAATATAGCACCAAATTCGTCTGGGGAAGGCTTGTGGATCGTAAAGTTTTTTCCATCTACAGCACCGATAACACCGTTTAGTCGCTGTCCATTATCACTCCCAAAACCGTGAGCTACAGCTCTAGCCGCTTCAAGATCAGTATGCCAAGCCAACAAATGACCAAGCCTTCCCTTGATTGCCTTAAGTGTCCTTCTGGTGAAGTTATTATAACTACCATAGGAAACACCTAGAAGCATGTACGCTTGACGGTATCCGACATGGCAATTAGCCAAGCGAAATAAGGCCGTTGCGACCTGAATGTAGACAGGAATAGCATTGGGAGCAACAAAATTAAACTCTTCATGGTTGGACAATTCATTCACCAAATTCTCAAAAGCGTCTTTGCCCATTCGGTAAGTCGCACGATAACTATTTACTTGATTTTCGTCGTCGTCATTGAGGAAGGGGTGTTCCAAACTCCAGAAGTGATATCTACGAGTTTCCCTTCTACCGTCGGCGTCGATAACTGTTCTCGTTCTTTCAACATATTCACCCGAAAAAAACATTGGCAAACTGGTAATTGCAATACCGTATTGGTTGCGGTAATCGTTTGCAATAAAACTGTATTGGAGACGTTGTTGTCGGTAAAGTGCAGTATTGTCTGATTCCATAATCATTTGGATATCGTCGTCCATACTCTCAGCTTCTTCGTCGAGTCTAAATAAAACTTGTTGCAATTCAGCAATTATAGTAACAATTTGGGATGGGTTCATTTTGGTTTTTCTAAAAATAAAAAGTATGTAGGAAAAAGGGCGAAAAAAAAAGTCCGAGAAAAATAATAACAGTTAGAATAGCATTTTGATTGAACTTTATTTTTTAATCGTTCAAAAAGGGTCATTAAAAAGCAACGTCATGGATTTTGGAAAAAGCTCTTTTTTGGAAGTCTGAAGTAACCTTTCACAAAAAAAAAAAAAAAAAAAAAAATAATAAAGTCCTTAATCGGGATCTTTAAAAAAATAATTTTGTTGCTTGTGAGGGGCCTTTGTTTCTTTTGTCCTCACCATAATAATTATTCTGCTCTGCTCTTGCCCCGATCCACTCCTGACAGGCCCACTAATTGAAAGACTTATCTTGTTTAATTTTGTTTATAGCTCTGTTAAATACACCAATTCTAAGATCAGTATCCAAAGCAATATACCATTAGAGCAGCATTGCACTAAACAAAAATGTGGTAGACTCAAAAATGGGTTACATGTTTGGAATAAAAATGTTTCAGTAAAGGGTATGACAAAAAAGGGTTTAACATCTTATAAGAATGATAATAGCTTATATATTCCTATGAAGCGCTGTTAACCGGATCCATAACATAATAATAACAACAAACAGAAAAAAAAATGTTTGGAAAGTCTCCCTATGAATCAGTATGTGATGTCATTACACAAAATACGAAAACCTTAAACGATTACGATACTTTGGAGGGCGCTGTATTTACGTTTTTGAAATCCAACGCACGTTTAAGGATGTTCTGATATGATTTGGGACTTACCTTATATGTCAAATTAACTATGATAATCCCCATACAAGCTTAGAATGCTT